CTATCTATCTATCTATCTATCTATCTATCTATCTATCTATCTATCTATCTATCTATCTATCTATCTTAGGAGACAAAAATGTTCTATTTTTATTACTTATTTGTAAATTTTAGTTAGCCCTTTTATAACTTACTTGTAAATCTTCTGGTTGCAGCAAAGCTGACAAAGATTCCTGTAACTTTATAAGGAACCTACAATGCATCCATCAGTTACTCTAAACAACATACACTGCCATTAGCACAATTCCTTTGAAACTGAAAGACTTGTTTTTTGAAACTATTTTATCAGGTGTAGAAAAAAAAAAAAGGCTATGCATCTCAGTACAGTCTAACTCACCAGTACCCCATACTAGGTTTTATAATTTGGCCTTACAGGTAGACCCCAGTTTAAGAATGAGTTCCATTCCCAAGGTCTGTCCTTAAGTCAAATCTGTATGTAAGCCAGAACAAATCTGTATGTAAGCCCGTATTATTGTATAATACTGTATAAGTAGTATTGTGTAATAAACCATTGTGTATTTAACTCAAATCTTGCTATAATAGGCTCCGTTCTTAACTATGGGTTGTCTGTAACTGGGTGTTCTTAACCTGGGGACTACCTGTATTTCTATTCATCATGCTATAAATTACATATCTGCTCGCTGTTACCTTATAAGCTCTCCTCTAACCATCACGGAAAGAGTCACAAGCTTCCTGTGCATTCTTTACGGTTCTAAAAACAGACTTTTAGCTGATCTTAGCTCTAGATTCAGTCTTATATGTGTGCATAGAATATTATTTCCCTTGCAGTAACACATTTTTCCCCAAGTTTTACCATATACTTCAGTTTGTGATTGACTTCTACCATGGACAGTACAATCCTATTTACTTAAAATTACATTCCACTATGTCAAGTGTTGCTTACTGCCAGGTATGTATGGATAAGGCTGCTACCTAGGGACAGCAAATGAGCAGATCTGTTACTATATGTGGAGAAACCACACATTAATGGACTTTTGTAAAACAGACCAGGCCCATATCTATAAAGAAAGAAGTAAAAACAAAGGGGGATGAGACAAAATATCAAGTCCAATTTATAGTTTATTAAGTGATGGACGTACAAGGACAAGGGAAGGGGAGCAAGCTTACTCAACTGACATATACATAATTTACAAACATTTCAGAAAGTTTCAACAATAACGAAAACAGGGTTGAAAGTGGAATATAGAATATAGATTAGAGAGAGGTAGAAATGTCAGGAACACTGTTAGAAGTCATTGAACCAGTAGAGACAAGGCTTTCAGGTTTGGGCTTTGATGATGGGATCTTTGTTTATGAACATTCTACCACTATGCAGTGTAGCCCAATTATACTGTAAGGTAATGTTGAAAATCACTGTACCTAGTAGTAATCTGTTATGAATAGACTGGTTCTAGGTGGATCTTCCTCCAGCAGATCATAAATTTTGAATCAAGGATAGCATTGAAAATATCTGGGACACTGGGTCCCGTCTTTAATCATTCCAACAATAGAATGTAGAGCTAATTGTCTGCTTGAGTAGTAAACCTAAGAAAATCTCTTCCTTAGGACAGGGAAACTTTGAAGACAAAAGGGATTCAAAATATCTCTTTCCTGATTCTGCATCTAAAAGGATGATGCAGGAATCAACACAATCTTTCAAGCCAAATCCAGGCATGATGTTTGGAGAGAGAGGGAGGGAGACACCACCAGTCTACATGTGCTGGTAGAGAGCAGAGCAGAACAGCAGAAAGAGAAAACACCTGATGGTGCAATGGGTTTTATTACCTCATCTCAGAACCAATTCCTGCCAATCTATAGTTTTACATGGAATTCTCAAAGAATGCTATGATTTTCTTGATCTTGGTGCCTAGAATTTTCTTTACTGGAAATGTTACTAAAAATATTCCATGGTAGAACTAACATTATCTTAAATATTAATTTGCTTAACATCTCACCTTTTGGGGTATGGACAGAGGTTTTCTTGTTCTGAAATAGATCCTCCTTGCTATAATTCTTGGCTTAGTCTTTGATTTTGATTAATAGGCCATCTCTCTAGGGTGGATGGTTTGGCTTGTGCAATTTTTCATCTGATTAATAATGGAGCCTGAGCTCAACAGTTTTTCCAATATGCTCAAGTTTGTGTGTTTGTTTTGACTATATTCTTCTTTGATCTGGATTTCCAAATACACATTCACTTCTATATATGAGGCACTATTTCATAATGGGATTGCCTGTAGCAGGAACTATACTGTGGATGTACCAAGTAGAAGTTGCTATTATAGCTACAGTACAAGCCACTGTCTAGCACCTTACCAGTACCAGAGGTATTTGATATTTCAAATTCATTACATTAAATTCATTACATTAAATTCATTCTGTTTCTGTTCATTTTAGGAAATGCACTAATATCTTTAATGGATAGAAAACTAACAAATCTTTTATGTGGATATTTTTTAATCAACAGGCAGAATATCTCTTCAAGAATAATCCTGAATTTGACTAAGAAGTATAAACAGTTGCCCTGTTATGCCTTGTTAAATTTAATTTTAAATTATTGTTGTGCAATATGCTTGTACAATATACATTCAATATTACAACAAATGCTTTTTAAAAAAAATTATTTAAGAAATCTGAAGTTTGAGGGTGTGTAAATTTATCTGTAATGAATGACAAAGTACAGTAGTATCTGATAAATTGCAGGAAGTTCCTTTAAAACATTTAGAACAAAGAAACAACTTCAAAACTATTGTTCTTGGAAAATATCTAGGTTATCAAGTTTATTAAGAACATGTACTTAAGCTGTACAGTTAAGGAAAAGAAAAATATTGGTACTTGTTCAGTTACACCAAAAATCCTTTTACAATGCAACCATATGCAAATTTATTCAAAGTAATCTCACTGTAATTAATTCAGCTTATATTCACAAAATAAAATTACAGCCTTAAGCCATTTCTCCCATGACATAGCATCAACCATATCTCCTTGAGGAATGTAAAACAGTAATGAGGACATGCTTTATATCATCTCAGTGCTAGCTGGGCGACACTATAATACTAGAGTTGGATGAAAAGTAGTACCTCCAATGGTATAAGTTGCCAGCAATTGACAGTACTGGCATGCTAGAAGCTTTCACGTGTTCTTTAGCACCTATTCTTTCACTTCATTTGGTGGGAAGTTGCTGCGAAAAAAGTTTGTGCTGCTATTGCTTATGAAATGGAAGCCACTGGTAAGTGTGCTTTAATGATTGAATTTTGGACTGCCAGCGGAGTCCCCCCAGTGAAATTCACCACCAGGTTGTTTTTGGTGATGACTGTGTTGATGTGAGTACTCTGTGTTGCTGGGCCAAAAAATGTGAAGATGATGAACTGGGAAGAGTTTATTTATGATATCAAGAACAAAGTGGACAACTGTGACAGCAACTGATGAGTTTCACATGAGAAATGTTGATGACCTGATTAAGGACAATCGATGGAATCACAGGAAAATTGCTGTCAAGCTTGGCATTTCACAGGAATGTATGGGTCATATTAATGATGTTCTTCAGTGTCAAAATATTTGCGTAAGATGGATTCCTCATATGCTGATTGCAGAGATAAAAGCCTCAAGAGTTGAAATTTGTCACCAATTATTGTCACTTTAGGAGAATTAAGATTTTTTTTCACAGCCCTATGACAAGGTGATGAAACACGGGTCATCATTATGACTCAGAAATGAATTTTCAATCCATGGAATATCATCATAAAAATTTACCTGTGGCAGGAAAAAAAAAAAAATCAAAATCCAGGCTTTGGCAGGAAAGTGTATGCTTACAGGTGGTCCTCACTTACCAACCTTTCGTTCAGCGACCATTCAAAGATATGATGACACTGAAAAAAGAGACTTATAATCGGTACTCAAAGTTCTGGCCATCACAGCGTCCCCATAGTCATGTGATTGTAATCAGGGTGCTTGGCAACTGGCTCGCACTTACAATGGTTGCAGCATCCTGTGGTCATGTGATCGCCATTTGCGACCTTCCCACAAGCAAAGTCAATGGGGAAGCTGGTAAGGAAGGTCACAAGTCACTCTAGTAAGTTGCTTGCACCCTCCCCCACCCAGCAGCAGCCATCCCCAGTACCGTTGCACCCAAACCACGCCTGCTTGCAAGTCACCTGGAAGTTGCTTAATGACCTGTGATCCTTGCTTAACAACGGTATTAGGGAGTGGTGGAATTGCCATCACTAAACAATGCAGTCATGTGATGTTGCACTTTACGACCACATTGCTTAGCAACGGAAATTCTGGTCCAATTACCATCATTAATTGAGGACTACCTGTACAGGTTTGTTGGGATGCAGATGGCATATATTCACATGGATTTATTTAAATCTGGCAACACTACCATCTCAGAGTGCTACCTTTTAACAATGCTTTGAAAAAACAAGCCAAAGGAAGGACATTTTGCTGCTTGGGACACCAGTTCTCAGTCCTCATGAGCCACCCAAGAGGCAGTTACGAAGTTAGATTTCACTGTCTTACCCTATTTGTCATACTAGGCACCATGCATTTTCTACCTTTTCCTCTAGCTGAAGGAATACTTTAATGGGCATCTGTTTGATTCATATGAACAGATAGAAAGGACTCTCAGGAGCTGGTTAACGAGATAAAGCATGAAGTTCTTTTGTGATGGCCTTAAGAATGGAAACAATTACTGTAGGTGGAGAAATAAATACAGGTGACAGAAGAGCTCACCTACTTTTTCCTATTTTCTTTTATTAAAAAAACATTTATTTTCCTATTTTCCTGTTTCATTTGTTAAAATAACCCTATTTAAACTGAAGTTATGGAGGTGGAGGCATTACTTTTCATTCAACCCCTCATTATTGTATTCTGTGTCACTAATGGAGAAATGTCCTTAGTCTTGTATTGCCTTCAATACTGGTTGACAAGGTGCCACTGGGAAGCTCAGAAAGATGTAGATTGTCACCTATTAGCCCCTGAATCTGGTAAAAAAATGTACCGTATAATTAATTAAAATAATGTATATGGCTACCCATCTCACAACAGTGACTTCAGACAGTCTGCAAAGATTAAAACAAGTTAGAAGCAACACCCCATGATGCCCCATAAGCCTATTGGGAAACAGTGGAGCTCACAGAGAAGTGTTACATGAATGTATTGACAAACATCAAAAACTGCCCATGCTACTGCATTTTGGACCAGCTGCAGGTTCCAAATACTCTTCAAGGGCAGTCTCATGCAGAGTGTGTGAAAGTAATCCAACTCCGAAGTGACTATGATGTGAGTCACCAGGAGCAATGCCTTTTAGACCAGAATGGGTGCAATTGGTGCACAAGACAAACCTGTGCAAAGGACCCCCTAGCCATGGTTGCCACCTACTCATCAAGCAGAAACCATGAGTGCAGGAGGACCCCCAAATTGCACACCAATTCTCACTGGGGAAGTACCCCCAGGCAAAGTTAAAGATGGGAAATCTCTGGAGTGGTGTGCAGGGGTGGAGGTCTTAACACCCACAGCCACTCAGTCTTGCCAGTGTTCAGCCAGAGCCTGTTCTTCCCCATCCAGACCCTCACAGCCTCCAGGTATCAGAAAAGGACCTCAGTGGCATCACTTGGCCCAGGGTGGAGATCATCAGCATACTGATGATACGCACCCCATGTGACCTCCCCCCCCGCAACGCTGACTGGACCCAGGTCCGAAAAAAGGAGGAGATCCACTATAACACAGTGCCTCCCAATCCTCTAAAGATGGGCCAGAAGGATTCCATAGTTGATAGTATCAAACAGGGCTATGGAGTCGTCACATAAAACTTTCAGTTCCGACTTTCTCCTTTATTCATGGTACCTCCAACTCTGACTCCTTTAATTATATATCGATACAAATAAATTATAAATATACTAATTATATAGTCCCTATATTGACTGCAAGCATGCAACATACAAGGCATTTCATCACTGCCAACGTGAATCGCAGGCAACTTTTTAGAACCCTAACCTGTTAAAGCTTGAGTCTAAAGGCTATAGCTAAGGCATTCTGGGTTTTTTATTTTATTATTAAGAAATTACAAACATTCAGTAACCTTATAGTTTGGACAAAGGATAAAAGCTAAAAAATAAAAACAATGAGGTTATATTTTTATCAAAATATATATT